TGCTCAATACGTTTCATTGTGTGGCAAACTGAAAGCGGTGTTATATGGCACAACGAGTGCGGATCACTCCATTGAACATACATTTTTAAAGGGGTCCTATTATGCTCTTTTACAAAGTTTTGATTTTGTTTTGGGGGGTGTACTAGAACAGGCTCTCATACTAGGTTGTTTGAAAAACACATTCTTTTTCACATATTTTAAATTATTACAACATCTCTCTCCCCAGTCTGGCATGAACGGCTCAAATAGTTCCTGTATCAAATGAAGGCCCGCCTTCTGAAATACGAAATGTGCTGTGATTGGTTAGCTGGGCCAGTGTGTGTTGTGACTGGCAGCACTTGGCACCTGGTCGGGAAATGTCATGCCCCTTACCATAGCTTCCTGCGAGCTTCAGTGTAAATATTGTGTCAAAATCAAATCAATTTGAGCGCGATTTAAACCCGGATGATTGTAACCAGGGTTTGAAATTAACACCCGCCAACCCGCCAAATGTGGGTAAAAATCAGCTGTGGAGGGTAACGCTGTCAAATCACTAGCCAATTTGGCGAGTTACTTTTCGTAAATTATGCTCACTCATTAATTTCTTGGGGAAGTTCATGCAGGTCAAATCTGCACAGGTTTAGTGCAAATACTGAACTCGTGAGACATCATGATATTATCGAGTATATTGCAAAAAACAAACAAAACACACCTACAGAGGCGTGCATACACGACGTGATGAAGTCTGGTTAGGCCAACACAGGATTTAGTGCGCGTGCGCTTTTATAGTGTGCTCTTTCGCTGCATGATTCAGTCTATTAATATGCATTAACAATGATCACATACTTCAAGATAAGGAGGCAGAAAATTTATATATTTATATCAGTTCATATAGTTAATCAATATCACACGAAGAGTGCCGTTTTTTCTTAAAAAATCAGCATGGTTACAAATGTGATATTTATTTTATACAACAGTTCAATAAACAATAAGTTAATATCTAGAGACTTACGTTTTAGACACCATATTGGCTGTTTTTGCGCTATTTCTGTGCTATTTCGCCAACAAAAGACATTTCAAGCACAGCCACAGAACTGTTTTGCGTATCTGAGCTGACATTGTTTTGTTTCTGAATGAATCAACCATTTAAATGATTCGGTTCAATCGCAATGACTCACTTAA